ACTTATTTTTACCTAAGGAAACATTCTGACAACCAGAAAGGCCAATGAACAGCCACAATAGTTCTTAACCTGATAATGGAGTTTTTCAGCCATTCATTCAAAGGCTTGTCTATTTTACTAACAATTCTGATGAGGTTGGTTTATTTTCCCCCCTCAAAACACGATGTATTATACAAGATTCAAATAAGTAAGGTAAGGGTGCTGGAAAAAGTAAGTAAAATTATAACATCAAGACTGACAACTGATACTTGAAGGATGAGAAATATCCATACAGAACGAGCAGAGGATGAGTACATGTACATAAACATTAGCATGAAGGAGAGGAAACAGGCTAAGGGAATGAGAAACAGCAAAAAGCAAAGATAAAGAGGAGGGATGTGAGCAGTGTGTGTGTACGAAGAACTCAGAGCAGAGTAACCTTTAGTTGACTTAGTCATTTAGTTGAGGAGCAAATATTAATAGCTGCATATTCTTGAAGAGCTTTTGAGGTAATAGCACATTAAAATAAAATAATCTATTAATATTGCCCAAGTCCAAAATAATCATGTTCTGTGCAGTCTGCTTAAGAAAGAGAAAAAGTTAAAGGTATTTTACAAATATTTATATTCAAAGTAGTTTTTGTAAGTATCAGCACTAAAACGGCAAAACTCTAGGCTCTTTGGAAGAATTAGCTATTCAGGTTATTGCTAACCTTTCCACACAGCTGTTGTCTTCCTAAGTAAGATAACATATTCTAAGTGCCAAATATGAGGTATTGGTCGAGATAAACAGTGCTACCAAGGAAGAATCACTGAGTACACTGTGGCTGAGCCAGTTACAGAAACTGTACAATTTGAAGGTTACTGAATGTATGCACAAGAACTATATGCAGCAACATCAGTATCTAAAGCAGTATCTAATCTGATGAGCATATCCCCCAGTAACAATCATTTGACAAAGGGGAAATTAAGAAAATGATTCTGGAATAATTAGTACCTAAGTATAATGGGTATGAACACAGTTTTTAAAAAAAATTAAATCTTCACAATTAGAGTTGCAGTATTTTCTAGAAACCACAGTAAGGTTGTAAAAACAAGTGTTTTTAAAATTCTGAATTATGTTTGTCATAATAAGAACTATACTATTCAATTAACCAAAGCTTAATCTAAATGTCTCAGAATGCTACGAAAAGTCTGAGTTAAGACTACTAGTTGAGTTTATTAGAGAGTTTATTTAAGGCAACAAAATTTGTAAGTCTACTTACTGTTCTTCAGGTGAAGAGAGAAATAGTAGTTAGTACAGAAAAAACATAGAAGGAAAGAACTTTTTATAATAATATTCCCCACAATGATCAGTAAGTATAGGAACAAAGCAAATATTCTGCAGAAAATTTTACATTTACAAACAAAACCAACACCCCTAAACAGTTACCCACACAAAGAAACATCAACAAGACAAAATATTTTAATTAAAACCAGTCTATTTTAAAATGTGCTTCCAGTCTAGAATGCTAAGGTTTAATGACCACACATTTGAACAACACACCAGCACCACCTTTGGTCACATTAGGTGAAGCACAACAGCCTGAGTGCCACCAGCTAAATGATGAAGGAGCAGTAATTATAAAACATCAAGGCTACCAGTGCACAGACCTACCAATAGCTTCTAAGTCGGAAACTTAATAAAGTTTTCTTTAAAATAAGCAGTATTCTAAGTTAAATCCATAATGAAACAAAACAATCACTAGTTTATTAGTCATGGAAAACACAAATAGAAAATAATAGCTATATCCTAGTAGTCATGGACTTACTGAGCAAAAGGAGGCAGTTCTTCTGAACGAGAAGGCGCTTGGTCACATCCCCAGATGTCAGTGAGAGATACGGACAGTTCATCTCCCCTAGTAGCCCACTCACCTCAAGCTGGAATTCTTCAGCTTCATTTGGGCCTTTTAAGAATTAAAATAATCTCATTTAATAAAAGTGACTGTTTTTCACACAGCACCTAGATATGTGTATGTGCACACACACATAAAAATTGAAATAGTAAGATTTTCCAAATACAAGTTTCTTTTTTTTCTAATTCTTCCTGTCTCACACCACTAATTTTCTTTAACACTTTCATTAGGTTATTCCTTTACCTGAGACTCTTTAATGGCTTTCTAATTTCTACCTCACCTAATTTTTCTATATTTAAAGATTCTCCCTAGCTTCTCTGCTTTGCCCTTCCCAGCAGGTTACTGTTGTAGTAACTATCGACTACTTCGACAAATATTCCTTCTGTTTGTGCCGGGGCAATCTACCTCCTGTCCTAGGTCAGTCGTATTTCCAAATCTGTGCCTTCATTTAAATTACTCCCTGTGATGGATATGTCCTCTACCCTCTCCTTTTCTATCAAATCCCACCCATCCATCAAAGTCCTGTGGTCTAGCTCCTTGATGAAACCATCCCCAAGTACTATCACACTAACCGATTTCCTCCCCTGTGAGCCACAGAGTGAAGCATTTAATTACTACTAATATCCAGTTGTTTCATTTGTGCCAAATATTTCTAGTTTCCAATAAAATCTGAAGGTAGTGAGCATGACTTGTAGTTCCCATAATGTGTAAAATCCAGAGTTCACTAGGTGAACCAATGAAAAACGATGCTCTTTCTTCCTTACTATTTTGATGGTTCTCTATTCAATATCACAGAGGGGCAAAAATTGACCAACAATATCTGAGAGTCACTTGACCTGAGTTGTCCTTCTCACCTATGAAACAGGCAGACTGAACAACCAAGGTTTTGAAAACTGTGTTCTGTGAGCTCCAGAGTTTCACAGAACTCCTTTAGAGGCAGCTGAGAGGATGAGGCGAGAGTTGTGCTAAAAGTACTCCCTCTCAACTTCAACTAGAAGAGCTATGCTTTTACCTGTTGTGTGTGTTGGCTTCTATAAAATGTTTTCATATGAACAAAGGGGTTCCAGGTTGTAAATAGTTAGCATCTAGCACAGGTGTTGGTTCAAAGTTCTTACAACCTCTGAAACATTAGGTCAAGGGGCAATGTTAAGAGCACTGGCTCCCAGATTTGACTGCTGTGGTTGAATCCAGGCTTCATCATTTACTGGTTGTGTGATCTCAGGCAAATGTATTTAACCTCGTTGTGCTTCCTTGTTTAATGCATAAGAGTAATAAAACCTGCCTTATAGGATTGTCCTGAGGTTTAAAGAGTTAACACATGTAAAGTACTTAGAACACAGTAAGTGCCCAATAAACATAAGCTGCTGCTATCATTACTGTTGTACTATATTCTCCAAAAATTAGAACTGAATGCAACTAACATGTACACATTAAATATATTAAATAGTATTAACAGTAGTAATAGTATTAAATATACTAAACTGGCAAGAGTTCTTCACAATAGGATTCTGTGAAAAAGAAAATGGGATTATGTGTATAGTTCTCCATAAGGGTAGGTTAAGAGGTGGGCATTTTTTTGGCTCCTATTATAGGTTTACCTATGGCAGGAGGGAAACAGATCGTAGAGTGTCAGGTTCCAAGCCTATCTCTTCTGTAGAATCAACAAACTAGTGCTAAAACAATAACAAAATTAGTAAATATAAAACAGCTCTCAAGGCCATAAATCTGATGATGCTGGATCTGGCTGTGGTATACCTAATGGTATATTCTTATACAGAAAGCTTCTTAATAAAGTCTTCTCTTTCTTCCTACATAGTAGAGAGCTTTTACTGTATATACTATACATGCTTCTGGAATCTGGTAGTCCAAAAAGAAAAACATCCTAAATTCCAGTGCTAGCCACCTATTTATGATCTCACAAGTCATGTTTTACAAAGAATGGAAAGTTCATATAGTAGAGTCTGTCTGGAAAAAGACAAGCCATTGTTAATACTATGAGAACTGTTAGTGCAACATTGATGTAACCTGGCAGCCAAGGAGAGTAGACTGGAATGCATGTGTGTGAACAATGATGACTTCACTGTACTAATAAGTAGGGGTAGTAGATGCCTCTAAGTGAGCATGTGTACTGTCTGGCTGTTGCCCTCAAAATGACTGAGCAAGTAGAGCAAACCTTCATCAAATTTTGTGTTAAGCCCTGGCTGGTGTGGCTCATTGGACTGAGTGCCAGTCTGCAAAGGGTCACTGGTTCAATTCCCAGTCAGGGCACATGCCTGGCTTGTGTGCCAGGTCCCCAGTAACGGGCATGCAAGAGGCAACTGCACACGGATGTTTCTTTCCCTCTTTCTCCCTCCTTTTCTCTCTCTCTAAAAAAAGATAAATAAATAAAATCTTTAAAATAAAATTTTGTGTTAAGCATGAATTACTGGGATAATTCAGAAAGCCACAACTATGGGCAGCTGGTGTTTGGCAGCTTCATCATGACAATGCACCTGCTCAGGTAGCATGTCTTGTGCAGAGTTTTTTGGTGAAACATCAAATTGCCCAGGTGACTTGGCCCCTCTACAGCCCAGATTTGGCGCCCTGTGACTTCTGGCTTTTCCCAAAACTAAAATCAGCTTTGAAAGGGAGATTTCAGACTGCTGATGATAATCAGGAAAATATGAGGGGGCAGGTGATACTGATGGGGAGAACTGTGTGAGGTCCCAAGATGTCTACTTTGAAGGGGACTGAGGTGTTATTGTCCTCAATGTACAATGTTTCTTGTATCTTCTTCAACAAATGCCTCTATTTTGGCTACATGGCTGGATACTTTCTGGTCAGACCTTGTATACTATTAGTTGCCTCCATTTTTCTGAATCTTAGTAATAGGGTCTTTTCAACTTCCACAAATCTTTAATAGTTGCATGACTACATTTTGGTTTTCCAACTTCTGCATCACCTTTCTCTAAAAACAATGGAGTCAAAGTCTTTAGTTGCTTTACAAACTTTTTTTCTATTTACAAAGAACGTAAAATTTTAGCTTTAGGACTGATAATGTTTAACTGACAATACCTGGATTTTATTTTTCTTATTTCACACATAAAACTGTTTACTTACTGTTAGTTGCTTGCACATTTTCCTCCAGTTTACAGAGTACTCTCAATTCAGACACCAGCCAAGCGCAGAGTTTGGTAAACTCAGGGGAAGTGGCTCCAGCAGAGACTGCCTGAGACAGAGCGCCATCTTCTAACAATGGACCCTTGTAACTGGTGAGTTAAGAAATCATACTTCAGAAGAATATAAAATCACACCTAATGTATTATGGACACACTAGATTTATGTATTATTTGTATAATGAAACATTAATAAAAATAAGTTATGATGACCAATTTCTACACTTGCAAATATAAATAAAATTAGTACTAAGCTACATTCAAAGTATAGGTGAATATTTAATAGAATCACATATAATACGCTATTAAATTATATAAACTTCTATACATTTCTGAAATCACTTACTGTACATTTTCTTACTTTCACTGATTTGAGTATTAAAACCAGACTAATAAGTGATAGCTATTATACTATAGTTTATAAATGAAACTTATGTTATCTTTTCTAGATATTTTTCGACAAATCAATTAGGTTAGGTTTTTAATGACTTTCAAAGCAAAAATGTTTCCAATTAATCATTTATTTTCTTTTTCTATATATATTTAATGACAATTAAGACCAGGTAAGACCTACCAGTACCAGTGAAATGTCAAGTTTAATTTAATAATTGTTGGTGAGTTGTTTGAATGAAATGTACAACTGAAATATAATCCTTTGTAAGTGATGCAAATGTAATTCTAAAAAATTACTAAATGTTCAAACATAAAAGGCAATAGTAATAATGAACTCCAATCTAGAATATAGCTAGAATTAAAGATTTTGTCATTCCCAAATTGACTTTAAAATATATATTCTTCAGAAGATTTTACCTTCCTTTAAATATTAATGAAAACCATTATTAAAGATGGTATATTAAATATGCACAATATGCTTAAGATAATTTGATGTTTAGTGGCATAGAGATTTTAGAGAAATGACAATACTCCATCCTTTAAAATACAATTACATGTATATACATTGAAGGGAATGAAAGAAGTGTTACACAAAAAATGAGACTCTATGTACTCTGGCATCTAGATTTAAAACCACATATTAGACACGAATAAGGAGACTAGGCCTAGAAATTTCAGATTTTGTTCTTTCATTATACAAATAATTACTGAATTCCTACCATGTGTCAAATTAAAGATAAAAGTCCTTTAATTCTAGTATTTCTCAGTGAATCCTTTAAAACTATACCTCAATCAAGGTTAAATTTTAATGTTTGAATGCCACCAAACTAAGCAGTTATGGTTGAAATTTATGCAAGGTTTTCAGAAAATCCCATGGTTTACATTACCGCCCATCTTAATTATTTGATTACAATTATTACAGTAACAATTCCTTTTATGAACAAAAATACAGCTAAGAGAGAGTAAAAGAATAAAGGGAAGAAACAGCATCCATCACCAATTCTTAGGTGACCTCTATCCATGCAGAATAACTACGTTTAAATAAGGTCTACCTTGTCCTCTCATCCTACTGCTCTTCAACACTGATCTGAAGTGTCACTTCTAAGGCTCCTAGGACTTCATTTCCTTCTGCAGCACAGGGACCCTCCACGTATCTCCTCACAGCCTATTCTTACAGTGGGAACTCGGCCTCCGCCTCACTCTGTACCCTTAGGCGCTCAGCCCAACCCTGCTCCGGGACAAGTGTTTCTCAACGACGTTTACTGAACGAAGGGCTTCAGGTGTGAGCAAGCGATTTCGTGTGAGATGTCTACCAAAGGAGTCCACTTTGTTGAACGACTTTTACTTATGCTCTACTGAAGGAACATAAATAAATAAGCCCCCTCAAGTCTAGAGTATTCAAGAAAATTCACGGCAAGTTAAAAGAAAAAGGGGGGGAAAAAAAAAACAACGGTAATTCACTTCGACAAAGAACGGTGGTAAGCACTGCCACTTTCTTCCCTAAAAACTTCTGTCAGGACCGCAAGTTACTTAGGTGGGCGGACTCTGGGAACCCTCACGGTGTCCTTTTTTAAAGAAAGGTTTTCTCCAGATGTTTCCATGTTACAAAGTCCTCGGGGAAGGTTTTGAGAAAGGATTTGTTTCTTTATAAATACAGTTAGCTAAATCTGTAAAAAAATTTTTGGACACCGTACCTGTAGGCAAATATTTAATCATATGATTTGTTCCTGGAACCACATTTAGCCCAAGGGATTCTAAGTTTTCCAGTTTTAATACAGTACACTGATCTGGGTGACCCGGTGAGGTACGAACCTTATTTCCAACTTGTAGATAAGATGAATCATGATTCGTTAACTGTCAGGACGGGAGACAAAACGCACAACAAACATGCACGGATCTGGTGGGTGAAGGTGATTCTACAGGTAAGTAAGGGCTAATAATGACTCAAAGGAGCGTCAAAGTCAAGAGAAACTGCCGGGGGTTCCATGGAGGTAGTGACAGGCCAGGGGCACAAGAGAGCTGGCTAGCGGAACGGACGCAGCGCACAGACATGTGGCTTTGGGAAGCCGGGGTGCGTGCAGAGATGACTGGGCAAAGGCGATTTTTTGAGAGAAGTGGGGTGGGGTATGAGTAGGGGCTCAAGACGGGAGAAGAAAGTTTGGAGGACACGTAGGAAATCAGAGAACCAACTTTGGCAACCTTTAGAATGAGGGGGTAGGGCAGGAGGATGGTGAGCAAGGAGAGAAGCTCAGAAAGGGGGTTGGCGAGAACCAATGCCCAGACAATGACACGCACGACTGACAAACACTGCGGGTAACTCGGCTGCAAAGAGCACAGGGCAGGCCTACGGGCATCCCATTTGGAGGGTCCCGACCGGGTAGGGCACACAGTGGATGTGGCATTAGGGTCCCGGAGCCTTAGGGAGGCGACAGCCGAAAGCCAGGGGGTGCGGCATGGAGAGGCAGGTGTCTCTGACTGGGACTTGTGAGGTGTTCCCGGGGGACTGGCAGTGTGCGAACTGGGAGACCCAAGCCCTGGTACTCTTACCCTAGATCTTCCAACGACTCCAAGATGTCAGTCTCCATGAGGTCGCACTCCATGCTAGTGGTATTCAAATTTCCGAGTCGTCTGGGTCCCCTCTTCGCCGGCAACGCGTACACTAGCGCATGCGCTGCTGCCCCGGAACTTCCAAATCGACGTCTGGCGCCTCAGACCCCGCACTGCGCATGTCCCGAGCGTGCGCAAGAAACTTGGTCCCTCCTACCGCTCCACCCCTGCTGGCTGAAGGATTGCCGGGCGCCACAGTTTCGCACATGCGTACTACTGAATAGTGAAGCCGGCAGTCCAAAGAAGGGCAGGAGGACTGGCTGCGTGGCAGCTGGGTGTGGGGCCCCAGCGAGGGTGGGGGAGCGTTCTACCCTTTCTTAATTCAGCTTACGCAGTTGCGAATCTTGGGGCGAGGCGGGCAAGGGAGGAGCTGGCAGAGGGGGGTGCTCCCTAGATTTTGGGGGCGGGGGGGGGGTTGCTTGTGTAACAGTCTCTGGATCCCAGGGAGTGGCGGGAGTGGTTGTCTGCACCCTGCCAGCGTGTTCTAGCCATAGCCCTGGGTCATGGAAAAAGGGGAAATTCGTAAGCTCCTGAAGGATAGACGGGACAAATGCTGATAAATGCGTTTCAATTTCCTTGTGGCTGCCGTAGGTGTATTTCAGGATTAGGGAGGAGTCAACTTTTCTTTGCCGTGGGCATGCTGATCAAGTTGTTGCATTCCTCTTTCGCATTCTCAGACTTTTTAAGCCCTTTCTAGACCAAGAATCTTATTTTAAAGGGTGGGGCAGAGGGAGGCTTCACTCTGTATCAAAAGTAATCGAATATATTTAAATCCCAGCACTTTAGGCAATGAAACTTTTTTTTTTTTTTTGCTGTAATGCAGTGGCTTTTGACATTATTTGGCTTAGTGTACCATTCAGTTCACAATGGGCTATGATTTCTTGACAGTTATTGGTTGGGTATATGCTTAGAAATTACTCAAAAATAAAAAAAGTTGTTTTCAAAATGATTGCATATTTTGAAAATTATATTTAACAATAAATTGGCATAGTGTTGCATTGGCTAGGCATTTAATTAAGGAGTTTTATAATTGGTAACAGATTTTATTTTGTAGTTCTCATTTTTGTGTTTAATGGATAAGTGCCCCCTGTACTTTATTTTAAATTCCTTAACTTGCATCATCTGGATTTGGGGAAAGAAGTTAACATTTATCATGCAGCTAATGTGTGCTTGACATGGTATTACTCCCCTGGTATTATTTTATGCAATCATCATAAGGCTGTGTATTACTGTTATTGTACAGATGAGGATTCTAGAGCTTAGTGGCTTAATGACCTGTTAAAATGCTAAAACAGTGAGGACTTGATTTTGAGGCATCTCTGAATCTATACTCCTTCCTATTTAAATAAGAACTTATAAGCAGGACATGAAAAGATAGGAAGATCAAACTAGTTTGATTTATTTAAATTTGCATACATGGTGCATGATTACACTATGATAAAAATGGAATAATCATTTGCTCTCCTAGGGTTGTTGAAGGTGCTAAATAAAAAGTAATGCTTAATGCAAAAATCAGTTTCCATTTAAGTTGTAATACATACAATTAGTGAACAAGAGATGGCTCCTCTAAATTTATTTTTCTAATGCAAATTGTTAGATTAAATGGAGGGTAACCAACACAAAGGGTTTTAAAAATACAAGATCAGTACAGAAGTTATCCAGCCATGTACTGTGAAAAATGAAGACATTTATTGAAGAAGATACAAGATACAAGAACATTGTACATAGGACAATGATGCCTCAGTCCCCTTCAAAGTGGGCACCTTGGGACCTCAGACAATTCTCCTGATTGTCATCAGTTGCCTGGTCATATTTTCCTGAATCTCAATGATGGTCTGAAATCTTTTTCAAAGGTGGTTTTAGTTTTGGAAAAAGCCAGAAGTCGCATTGTGCCAAATCTGGGCTGTCGGGGGACCGAGTCACCTGGGTGATTTGATGTTTCACCAAAAAACTCTGCATGAGACGTGATGAATGAGTGGGTGCATTGTTGTGATGAAGCTGCCAATCACCAGTTGCCCATAGCTGTGGCCTTCTGAATCATCCAAGTAGTTAATACAAAATTTGTTGCAGATTCGTTGCTCTACTTACTATTAACAATGGCTGGACTTTTCCCAGACAGACCTCATATATTATTTAAAATAAATCTATAATGGATTTTACTCCAATAAAAACAATGCTTTTTAAAAGTAAATATTCTCTATGAGACCAACTAAAAATCTTTGCATTTTATTTTGCAATTGTTTATACTGTAACCTGAATATCTAAAGACCTCATTCAAAATGAAATTCAATAAAATGAAAATAACACTGATTAGGGAGTTAGTGAATCCTGTTTTTTTCCTCAGATCATGATAAAAAAGAATTTTCTAACACAGTTGTCTGAAGTCCATCATGTGTTTTTGAGAGATGAGTTTTCCGTGTAGAAGGTGTTCCACTTGAAGTCATCTTCCATCTCCTTTATCCTCTTTTACTTACCCCACCCCTTTCCCTCTGGTAATCATCATACTGTTTTCTGTGTCTATGAGGTTTTTTGGGGGGAGGGGAGGGGGACTTAATCCCTTCACCTTGACCCGCAATCCCCCTCCTCTCTTACAGCTGTCCGCCTGTTCTCTGTATCTGAGTCTGTTTGTATTTTGTTAGTTTATTTTCTAGATTCTACTTACAAGTGAAATCATATGGTACTTGTCTTTTTCTGACTGGCTTATTTCACTTGGCATAATGGTCTCCAGGTCCATCCAAGCTATCGCAAAGGGTAAGATTTCCTCCATGTTTTTTTTTTGTTTGTTTTTTACGGCTGAGTAATATTCCATTGTGTAAGCACACCACAGCTTTTTTATCCTCTGAGCTGCTTCTAGATCTTGGCTGTGTATAATGCTGCAATGAACGCAGAGGTGCATATATTCTTTTGAATTAGTGTTTTGGTTTTCTTTGGATAAATTCGCAGAAGTAGAATTGCTAGGTCATAAAGCAGTTCCGTTTTTAATTTTTTTTATTTTGTTTATTTTCAGGGAGAGAGCGAGCAAGAGAGAGAGAAACAATTGATATGTGAAAAAATGATTGATTGCCTCACACATACTCCCAATCAGGGACCTGGCCTGCAACCTGGGCTTGTGCCCTGACCAGGAATCAAACTGGTGACATTTTGGTTTGCAGGCTGGCACTCAACCCCCTGAGCCACACCAACCAGGGACATTTCCAATTTTTTGAGCTAACTCCATACTGCTTTCCACAGCAGCTGCACCAATCTGCATTCCCTCCAAAAGCTCATGAGGGCTCCCTTTTCTCCACATCTTTGCCAACAGTTGTCGTTTGTTGATTTATTGATGATAGCCATTCTGACAGGTATGAGGTGATACCTCATTGTGGTTTTAATTTGCATTTCCCTGATGATTAATGACATTGAGCACCTTTTCCTTATGTCTATTGGCCATGTGCATGTCCCCTTTGGCGAAGTGTTTATTAGGGTAATTTTGATAATGGCAATGAAGTAGGTATAAAAGAATATAAGTTTTGTCATTTACCAAAGAACAGTTTCTAAGGCTTGATTAAACATCTAAAATAAATACTTTTTTTTCCTCAAATAAAAGAGCCTAGATTTTCTAGTTTTAATGAATTTGCATTCAGAATGTCTCCAACAAGGAGAAAATGAGAAAGACCATAAATTTGCTCATGTTGCTTATGAAATGATAATTATATATGCTACTAAATAAAGTTCTTTTCAGCTTGCATAGGGAAAACTGCTTTTTTCTCCTCTAAATATGAACATGTAGAATTAATCTTGTAGGATCTAAAATACTCATATTACTAAATAATGCTCTTTTTGAAATCATGCCCCTGGCTATGTTAGTATTATCTCTGAACCAGGACAATTTTTAGATACTTGCACAAAGTTAGACAACAATATCTGGCCTATGTTTAAATTGAGGAAGAGGTATAGATATGGATATGGGAAATAGATACAAATGTCTTTCCAAGATAATACCTCCAGACTTGATTTCTGTTGTTTTTCAGGACAGCTAAAGCCTAGTTGCCATGATCTGCCAACCTGTGAATCAGACACATAATGAACCAGATAGACACTGATTTAATTTGGATGTAGTAAGAGTTTATTAGACTCTCCCAGAGGTGATAAGCTAGCATCCATGTCAGGCCAAGAGTTGTGTTTTATTTGGCCTAACTAGTAATTTAAAGAATTTGGGGACTTCTGGTTCAAGATGGTGGTGTAGGCAGACATGGCTCACCTCTTCGCACAACCACATCAAAATTACAACTAAACTATGGAACAACCGTCACTCAGGAACATCAGAAATTGAACTGAATGGAAGTGCCACAACTACGGAATTAAAGAAACCACATCCATCCAGACTGGTAGGAGGTGCCCAGACACAGAATGGGCTGGTCCCACACCCACGTGGATAAAAATTTGGGAGGGATGTCTCAGGAGTGAGGAATCCTAGATCCACACCAGGCCCCCTAGCCTAGGATTCCAGTGCCAGGAAGAAAAGTCCCCACAACTTCTGGCTGCAAAAACCAGCAGGGATTGAGTTGGGAGAACCCCAAAAGTTCCTCTTAAAGAATTCACACGTGGACTTATCTACTCAGACTTTCTCTGAGCTCTAGCACCAGGGTAGCAGCTTGAAAGACACCAGTGGCATACAGGAAGAAACTGGAGTGTCTGCCACCAAGGTGAGCAGAGGCTATTGTCCCATTGCTAACCCCTCCCCACACAGGGCCTGTAAACTGTTGGTAAATCTGAGACTCCAACAACCAGGCTAACACAGTTTGACAGGCCTTCAAGATCCCCAGAGGTTCTGCCCCACCTAACTTATGGGCTCACCTGAGTTGCTTTTCTGTAAGAATGGCTGGTCTTGGCTCCTAAATCCTATCAAACAAGGAATAGCTGGCTTCAGAGAGCCCTAGTGGCAGCCAGATTAGATTCATAGCTTGGCTTCACCTGGGAATCTCCAAGCCCAGCACAAGGAGCAGCCATCTCAGATTGCTTAAAGCTCAGGCAGGGTGGCTCCAGGCAAAACACAGGTTGGGGCTGGCCTTGGCCTGCATCTCCCAGGAAACCCCAGGGCCAGCACACCCAGTGGACAGCTACAGACCACGTTGGACACCACCACCTTGCCCCTGCACAGCTAATCCTCTACGGACAGTGGAGGATAGTGGTCAGTGGTCATAGCTAATCCTTGCAGCAGACTGGCTTGGGTAAATCTCTCCCATTGATCTGCCAACAGCAACTAAGGGTCATCTGTAAGAGGAGGGTGCACCAAGTCCACATGAAGGACACACCTTGAATACCCAGGTTGGGTGATAGAGGAGGCTGTGTCACTGGACCCTACAGGACACCTACTACATTAGGTGACTATCAAGAAATGGAGTCAAAGCAGCTCTACCTCATACATAGAAACAAACACAGGGAGACTGCCAAAACAAGGAGACAAAGAAACACGGTCCAAATGAAAGAACAGATCAAAACTCCAGAAAAAGAACTAAATGAAATGGAGATAAGCAATCTATCAGACGCAGAGTTCAAAACGCTGTTTATAAGGATGCTCAAGGAACTCAGTGAGATCCTCAGCAGCATAAAAAAGACCCAGTCAGAAACAAAGGATACACTTATTGAAATAAAGAACAATTTACAGGGAAACAGCGGTAGGATGGATGAAGCCAAGAATCAAATTAATGATTTGGAATATAAGGAGGCAAAAAACAACCACGCAGAACAACAAGAAGAAAAAGAATCCAAAAAAAATGAGGATAGTATACATAGCCTCTGGGACAACTTCAAGAGATCCAACAGCCACATGATAGGGGTGCCAGAAGGAGAAGAGAAAGAGCAAGAAATTGGGAACCTACCTGAAAAAATAGTGAAAGAAAACTTCCCTAATTTGGTAAAGGAAATAAACATGCAAATCCATGAAGCAGAGGAAGTCCCAATTATGGTGGATGCAAAGAGGTCCACACCAAGACACATCATAATTAAAAGGCCAAAGGTTAAAGATAAAGAGAGACTCTTAAAAGCAGCAAGAGAAAAGAAGTTAGTTTCTAGATGGTTGTCAGAGGGGAGGGGAGAAGAATGGGTAAAGAGGAAAGGGGATTAAAAAAGTACAAATAGGTAGTTATAGAATAGCCATGGGGATGTAAAGTACAGTGTGGGAAATAGAGTAGCCAAAGAACTTATACACATGACCCATGGACATGAACAATGTTGGGGGGATTGCCGGAGGGGTAAGGGGTGCTGGATGGAGGGGGGCAAAGGGGGAAAAATTCAGGACAACTGTAATCGCATAATCAATAAAATATAATTTTAAAAAATTTGAGTCATTTAAAAGTTCAGAGGTATTATTGGGTTTTCTTGAAGAAATAAATCAGATGACTTGGTAGCATAAAACTCTTATTGTCTGCCAAGGCAATGATTGTCTTGGTTTGAGAAGGCTGCCTTCTTCTAGAGGACATGGTCTCTGTGGTGTCTGAATCCTGTCACTCATACCATACATACATCATATGCACGTACAGCCAGCAATTGTTCTGACCCCTTGTGGATTTGAGATTTCCCATTTCTTCTATTCTTTTACTTCTTGTTCATGTTGGTCACTTCTCCTTTAACACCCATAGGCTTCTCCTCCTTCCTCCTCTGCCTAGTCTACTGTTGGGGAAGGGCATTTTTCATCTACACTCTTAGGTTGATGAATGGGCCCTGCAAATTAAACCGACAGAGACAGATTAACTGAAGAAAAGGCATACAATTTTTTATTGATGTTTTTATTATGATTTTTTATGTTTATGGTACTTCACAGAAACGATGTGAAAACCCCAGAGTCAGTTAGGCTTGAGAGTTTATAAACCATTTTAACAAACAGTGATAAGTTGTGGAAAAGAGACTAAATAAAGGGAAAGAGGTTTGAGCTTCTAAGGGTGGTAATTTGTGGGAAGGTAAATATATTGGAAAATAATGGAAGATAAGGGTTATTTTTGTAAAGTTTGTCTGTTTGGACTTATTTCAAAACCAACTACCTTTTTTTTCTTCATGGCCGTATCACTCCCCCGGAGGGGGATTGATGGCATTCCTTGTCTCTTAGAAGTTTCTGCTTTTAATCAGATAGGAAGCTCTGAGACTCCTTTGTGAACCTGCTGATTTTCAGTTACCGCCAGCTCAAAATCTACATGCCAAAGTGATATGTTTTGGATGGATATCCTGGTCCCCTTCACTAGTCACATAGAACTTCAATTCACTTAACACACTTTGCCCTTTTATGCCTGTATAATTTTGTACAAGTTATTCTATACTTGAAATCCCCTTTGCCTCATTCTCCATCTGGCAGATTCGTATTGACCAATCTTGAAGAGTTAGTTTGGAGAAAAGCCTTCTCTGACTGCCTTGGGTACTCATTCTCTATCTCCCCAAGCTTCCTTAGCACTTTGTCCCAGATAACATTCCTGCTCCAGACAAGCCTACAGATGCCTTCTGCTGTCTCTTCAGCTTTGTTTACATTCTAGCCCTTCCTCAAGGCTTGGCTCAGTTCACTGCTCCACAGAGAAGGTGTTCCCTGACTGTACTGTTAAAATTAATTTTCTGTGCCCTGGCTGGTGTGGCTCAGTGGGCTGAGTGCCTGCCTGCGAATTCAAGGGTCATTGGTTCGATTCCCAGTCAGGGCACAAGCCTGGGTTGCGGGCCAGGTTCCCAGTGCGGGGGAGCATGAAAGGCATCCACACATTGATGTTTCTCTCCCTTTCTCCCACACTTCCCCTCTCTAAATAAAAAAATTATTTTAAAAAAAATTTTTTTCTGGAATTCAGGTGCCTGGGCCCTGCCTCTGATAAGTCTTATGTTAACCTTCCTGGGATTCAGTTTAGGAATCTGTTTTTCTTAAAAGCACTTCAGATGGTTCTATAATTAGCCCTCCATAATTTAATATTTATTAATGTTGTATTTTTATGTTGCTTATTTAATATGTTCTGATCTTTTCTATCCAGTTGGTATAAAAACATGCATTTTCTACATGTTGCTTAGTACATTGATACCTATACAATAGCTGTAAAAAATGATGATTAGTTGATTGACAAGAAAATCTCTTTCTCCTGACCAGACTTTGTTTTCTTCTGAAAGAATAAAGCTATGCTTTGCAGGGAATGAATGAGTACACAGTAACAAGCTATGCTTTGAGCTCTTGGATCATCCTGGAACTCAGTCAATGCCTATTTAAAACTAGGCTATTTTGGTAGGATGATCGTTCTCTGCTGACTTAGATTGTTTTTAGCAACTTTGTATTTTATCCTAGCACAGTGATCCTTTATGGTGGGCAGTTAGAATCCTCGGGGAGACTTTTCAAGCTCTACCCTCCAAGGGTCCCCATGAGAAGCATAGAATTGTGTGACAAGAGATGCTACTGACTGGGAGTGAGCTGTGAACAACACAGGCTTGAGCAGAGTGAAGGCTGTAAATCACAGTTCTAGGGAGAGCTTGTCAATGGGACCATTATGATTAGATGGATTTTGAATGTCTTCAGCAAATCTTAGTTTTCAATTCTTGGTAACAGTTATATACTTAATTT